TCTGCAGCTGCTCCTAGGTCTCCACTGTATGCAGGCTCTGCAGCTGCTCCACATTCTCCTTTCCTTTCCTTGGGTGGCTGGACCTGGGGAGGGGCCACACAGGCCAGAGAGAACTCTGTTGGGGACCCTAAGTACCAGGCCACCCTCCCTACAGGCAGACATCCATGGCAGCCTGAGCACTCGGAGAGGGGGCCCTTGGTCGGAAAGCTGGCCACAGCCCAGATGCACAGTTGAGCTGTCTCAGCACAGAGGCATAAGCAGCCCTGGTGGGGTCCCAGTGGGGCAGCCCCCAGTGAGGTGGTGGTTCTTCCCTACCACAGGTGGAGTGCTCCATGAGCACCCAAGAATCAACAGCCCAGGAGCACCACCACCTGGCCCACAGCTTCCCTGCCCAGCCTTCCCTCTTCACCCCTCCCATCCTCTGCCCGTCCTCTCGAGCTCAGTCTTTCTCACTCCAGCCTTGCCCTAGCCCAAGCTCGGGCTGGAGGGCTGAAAGGAGTGGAAGTTGGGGACCAGAGGAAGGTCCATCATGGGGCCATAAGCTCCCTGAAGAGGACCCAGAGGAGAGGCACAGAGGGTCCTAGCCTATCTGAGGAGGGACCCCTGTGCCACCCCACCCCACCACCACTCCTGTGGAAAGAGGGAAACAGAGCCCAGCAGAGTCCAGGCACCTGCTCGGGCACACAGCAAGACAGAGCAGGGACTCAGCCAGGGTTCCCTGCTTGTCCTAGGCTAAGGTCATATCGGCTTCTGGGCAGCACCAGGAAAAAGTGCCAGCCCAGCCCCCATAATTGATGAGGGGCTTAAGGGAGTGATGGGACTGGGGGTGTGATAAGGCAGAATGTCCCAGTTATTCGTTCATAGTAGTAGTTACTGACCCATTACTAGACTCTAGAGACATAAAGCCTGGGTTCAAATCCCAGCTCTGCATTTATGAGTTGTGTGACTTGGGCAAGTGACAGAACCTTTCTGTAAGCCTGTTTTCTCATTAGTAAAGCAGGTCATGCGTATCTGTACTCACTTCATTACATTGCCACCAGGAGCTCAGAGCAGTGCTTGGCAGGGAGTACACGCCATGTCAATTGATAATAGCCTTGTGTCACCTAGCCTTGTTAGCTTGCATGGACTCTCCTGGGTCCCAGGCGCCCGTCCTTACAGCCAAGTCACCGGGCTGCCAGACCCCAGTTCTCGCTCGAACTTTCCTGCTGTAGCCCAGCCACCCCTCACCTAGCAGGCTGGACACTGACCTCAGGGGGCTGCAGGCACACACAGCTGTCTCCCTTCAGGCTGCAGATTCTGCCATGCGCCTCAGGCCACTCCAGCAGCTGCCCCTCGGGCTCCTTTCTCTGCAGGCTCAGCTCCTGGCCCTGAGCAGGACACCACCTGTTAGCCCTCGGCAGGCTCCAGGAGCCCCCTCCCCACCACTCGTCCCACCACTCGCCCTGCTATTTACCACTTTCAGTAACTACTCCTGGTCAGGTGCTGAGCTGAGCCTGTGCCCTGACTGTGTTCCCACCGGAGGTGGGTCGGGCCCTGCCTATAACCAGAGCTGCAGCTCTGTTGGCTATTCTGAATGAATGTGGACAGGGGGCACAGCAGGGACAGGAGGAGGACCTTGAAGGAGAGCCCAGCTGCCTGTCCAAAGCTCACCATGTGCAATTCTCAGTGCTGATCAATCCCAGCTCCTCCAGAAAGCCTTCCTAGGGGCTCAGGCCAGAGTCCCTGCCCACAGGCATGGGTTTCTGCGACCCTGAGCCGGCCCCCACCCTCGCCACCTCCACCCTCATCACTACAACCACCACCACCACCAAGCCTAGGGCCAAACCCACAGCTCAAGAGGATCAGTGGAGTGGGAGTGGGGGGGAATTCCCATCTTCCTCTCAGTTCTCCCAACTGCAGCCTACGAAGCAGCCTAACAAATAAATGCGGAAAGCACTTTTCAGCACACCGTGGAGAGATTGCTAGCTCAGCTCTGGAGTACCGCAATAAAACAAACACGGCTTTCAAGTGAGCTGCATGGTGGTGGCTTTTCCCGGTGCATGTCAAAGGCATGTTTACATTAAGCTGTAGTCCATCGGATGTGTGATGGAGGGGACACTGAAATATTGTGAGCATTACCAGAATGTGACAGACAGGAAGTGAGCACGTGCTATTGAAAGAATGGCAGAGAAGTGGCAAACCTTCAATCTGTAAAAAATGTGCTCTCTGTGGAATGCAATAAAGTGCGGTGTGAAAATAAAACAAGGCGTGCCTGTACATAAACTGACGAACATTTGGAAGATAGAGAAACTGAAGCCAGAAAGGCTTGGGACTTGTCCAAAGTCATACAGTAAAAGTGGCAGGGCAGGGGCTGTAAACCAGCTCTCCTATCCACATCCTTTGACCCCTCCTGAGGCTAGGTTAGGCTGATTTGGGCCCCACCTGTCCACAGAGCATGTTCTCAGAACCTTCTACCCTCCCCGGCCCTTTCAGGGACGACCTCCATGGCCCAAAGGAAAGTGAGTGACAAGAGGCACCCCCAGAATTTCCCTCAGGTTCCTGGGGAGGAAGCAGAACCGACCTCTTCCTCGAACTTCTTGCCACGGTAAAAGTGGCTCTTCTTGCTGATGTAGATGAGGACCAGATCGCAGAAGAAAGCGCCCTGCAAAAGAGTTGGGGCTCCTGGCTCGGATCCTTGATTTACAGGAAGCACCTTATACTGTGTGAGCCTACAGCAGGCCCATGAGGGAGGTGCTCAGAATTGAATCGTGGCCCCTCCCCACTAAGGATATGTGGGGGTGCCCACCCCGTACCTGTGAACACACCCTGGTTTGGAAATGGGGTATTTGGAGATGTTATCGGTTAGCATGAGGTCATGGGGAAGTCGTGTGGGTCTACATCCAGTACGAGTGGTGCCCTGATAAAATCAGAGAAGAAACTTAACTAGCCACCAAGGGAAGGAAGGCGCCTGAGAGAGCATGGCTCGGCCAGCACGTTGATCTGGGACGGGAGAACAGCCCTGGGAAACTTAGACATTGACTCTGGTTAAAGGAGAAGGAAACCAGGCTCAGAAAGGGGCACGCTTGTCTGTGGAAGAGCCAATGTCAGACTCAAAAGCCATCAGGTTCCCTGCACTATGCTGACCCCATCTCCTGCCAGCTCCTACCTTGCCTTTCTGGGAGGACTAGGCCATGCAGACCCCCTGGGACTCTACCTCTGGTGCAGGAGAAGAGCATGTCGATTGCAAGACCAGTTCCGTGCCAGCAGGGGCACCCAGGGAAGGTAGGGCTCTACTCTGCCTGAGCATCTGGCTGGGTCTTGAGGATTGGGCCAGGCATTATGAACAAGTTGCAGAAAGCTAGGGACAGGCACGTCAGAGCAGGGGCTCCACAGGGACTGTGGAAGTGGTCGGGGGAACTGGAGACACTTCTGAAGAGGTAGGTAGGGGATCAGCCTTTGAAGCTCCTTAGAATGCCTGGTAGCATCCGATCTGGGCTGTCTTTTGAGCAGAAATGGAGATGGAGGTCACTGACAGGTTCTGAATAGGAAGCTCTCTCGGAGGGGGGGGGGGGGCCCGCATGAGAGGCTGGAGGGGATGCAGATGTAACCAACCAGGAACCTACATAGAGCGGTGATCCAGGACAGAGGGAGGCCTGAACTGACCCAGCTGGGGATGCGTCACTCTGAAACCACAGGCCTTGGGTCCACATCAGGTCCTGCGTGTGCCTGTGTCCTCCACCGGATGGCGACTGGACCCACAGTACAGGGTTTAATCAGGGACAGTGCGGAAGGACTGGGGAAGGATGTTGAGGGTGAAGGTGGGGCGCAGGATAAGGGAACCAGCGGCCTGATCTTGGACGGCACACACCCTTTCTCCCTCAATGCCAAACATGTTTTTTCCACTGCCAACTTCACCCACATCGTAAGCAAGTGATGGCCGGGGGTGGCAGGCACCTCTAAGAAGGGCACATACACGGGGCTCTCTACTGAGGACCGGAAGGCATTAGGGTCCACTTCTATTTACCACTTTCAGGGACAAAGCTTCGAGACCTGTTATGAGATGCACTGCTCTTGTCTCAATGAAAAATAAGTCCTAAGTCTATACTGAATTGCCAGGGGCCTCTTCTGGCCCCGCAGCGGAGGGAATGAGGAGGTAGCTGCCAAGAACACTTGGAAAGTAGCCTCTTGGATGGCCCGGCCTCACTGCCGACTCCCATGACTTTCAGAGACACTTCCAGAGATCTCTGTCTTTCTGCAGTGGCTTAACCAGTCCCCTTGAGCTGCAAGAAGGGGCACGGAAGTTTGGTGGCAGAGTGTGGGGGATGGGGGTAGGGGTATCTCAGGGGCCTCTAGTGGTGTCTCCCATTCAGAGGAAAGAGGAACACATGGAAACAACAAATGGACCGCATGACCATCGGCATCCACGGCCCTGGTGCCTGGCTCCCATTAGCCACAGCTCCGAGGGTCCTGGGCCCAGTGGGAGGGAAAGGTGAAACTGAACCCCAAATCATAAAAGAGCCCGGTAGACTGGTGGGACCCCCTGAGCCCATGCCCTTCGTCACCTTTCATTTCTGCACATGACCTTCCCTGTGGCCCAGTGTGCAGCCCAACAATAGGCAGAGCTGTGAGAGGAGCATTCAACCGCTGCAGAACAAAAGGGCAGCACCTGTCCACCGACAAGGTTCAGAAGGGCTAGCAAAGAACAGAACCAGGAGGCACAGGACAGAGATGAGGGGGGGGCGATGTTACCTTGTGGGGACGGCAATCAGTGATGTGAAACAAAATACGTATGAACTGTTGAATGGGAAACTGAGCTGCTCTGTACACCTTCACCCAACACATAATAAAACGTGAAACACAAAGAAAAAGAAGCTTCTGGAAGGACCAAGAAGCATTACAGAGATTCTTGATGAAAACTTTCCTTGCCCTTCATCCATTCCTGACTCTCAGCTCTGCACCTTCTTCCGCCCAGCTAAAAGGCTATCTCTAAGAAGGATTACAGGGAGTCCCTGGGTGGTGCCAAAGGTTCACTTGCTCTGCTGCTAGCCAAAAGGTTGGCAGTTCGAGTCCACCCAGAAGCATCTCAGAAAAAAGTCCGGTACTTTACTTCCAAGAAATCAGTTCTACTCTAACACTGGGCCGCCCTGAGCCAGAATCACCTCAACAGCAAAGGGTGGGAAGCAGAGCAGGGCTGTGCTCCCCGCCTCTTCACTCAGTGTGAATGTGCCCCCATGAGACACTGGGCAATGACTGGGACATCTTTGGCTATGACCACTGTGAGCTGTGACAGATACCTAGTGGGTCAAGACCAGGGATGCTGCTAAACATCCTCCAACATACACAGAACCGTTCCCCCAACAATTATCGTGTCCAGCATGTCAACAGTGCAGGGCTTGATGTGCCCAGTACAGCCTGCTCGTGCGCCCTTGGGCAGAAGCGTAGGCTTGAGAACTTCAGGGGCTGGTCTAGGATCCCTGAGAACACCAGCCTACAGCTCAACGTGGCCCCACCTGCAACCCCAGAGCTACAGCTAAATGCTGCTCCGGCTCTGGGAAGAGAAATGCGAGCAATCACGTCCCCTGAAACCCCTCGACCTACACCCACTGGGACCAACCAGCCCTCATTCTTCCTGGGGCAGTGGGACATGTTCGAGGCTGGGGGGGCAGTCCTCCCTGCTGAGCCCCAGGGAGGGGGAAAGGAGGGGACAGGTACTCACAGCCCCCATGAGAGCCATCGAAGAGCCTATGTTGATGACAGTGGGGACAATACTGAACTTCCCTGCCTGGAAGAGAGAATGAAGGGTAAGGAAGCCAGAGTGGACAGTGGGGTCCCCAGAGACTCCAGTCCCTGAGCCCTTCCCCACTCCAGCCTACCCGGCCTCAGAGGAGGGGAATTTGGGGGACCACCCCAACACACCTTGCCATTCACCATCACATCGAATCTGATCCCATACACTTTCATCAGGGTGCGGAACTCCACCCCATCAGCATCTCGGTAATATTTGGCAAACCTGAAAGCAACAGGGCCAAGGGGAGACCCCAGTCTGGCTGAGCCTTCCTGTTTGGCGCTTCTGGGAGGGGACCGGCAAGCACTCCACAGACTGCGACCCTGAGCAAGCCCGTGGAGACGTTACGGATCCTCTCACAGAGCCAAGTCCAAAGATAAAATCCCAGCCTGGAAGCCCCCAGGAGGCACAGCTCTCCCACTCCCCCTGGGTTGTCCCTGGGGCACCAGAGTCCCAATGAATTCAGCCCAGCAGATACACCTCACCCTCCCAAAAAACTCTCAGCATTTCCATAGCCCTTGGCCAGGATTCTCACCTCCCCTCATCCACTTCTTCTGGCACCCCCATCTCCCGAAAGAGACCACAGCGCTGATGCCCAGGACAGACGTGACACCTGACCAGGGTGACAAGGCCCCAGTTACCTGAAGTTGTACCCTGAGGAGGCAGACTCTTTCGCGTTCTTGCTGTCCAGACGGCTGAACGAATAGTGAGGGTTGCACTCAGAGGCAGCCTTGTCCAGATCACAGTTCCATTCGATCTGAATCCCTATCACACCACCCTGGACGGGAGAGAGGCCAGGGTCAGAGGACGGAGCTTTCTGGAAATGAGCAGATGTCCCAGACTGACCCTGCAGAGCAGCAGGTCAGCGGTCTGCCCTGCTGGGCTTTCCTTCCAGGAGGAAAGTAGCGGGCACAAGGTTCTAGCTCCACTCTGGAGTGGCGGGTAAGACTGCACGGTGAACACCACCCCCCCAGTCCCGCTAGCTTCCCTCTCTAAGCTGCAGAGGCAGAGCCAGCTTCCCCAGGGCAGCACTGACTCCGAGTCAGGCTACCCTGAGGGACACCAACTGTGGTCAGGCTTACCCTGGAGGGGCACTGGACCAGGATGTGCTCAGGGATGCTTTCTGGTCCCACTTTGCTAATGTCCCAAAGACAGAACTACACAGCAGGGGCCAGAGCTTAGTTCCTGGTGGACGCTGCTAGGAGCCTAAAGGAGGCAGAGGAAAACTAGATGCCGACCCTCAGCTCAGCCCTGACTTTTAGGATCTGGGGCTGGGGTGGGAGAGGCCGGAAGTGGGGTTCGTTCGGAAGTCGTTGTGGAGGCGCTCTTATGAAGGCTAAGTCATAGGTATCGCCACAAAATCACAGAAGCCTTCGTTAAACCACCGCGGTGCCACCACATTGCCCCCATCTGGGTCTCTGCCCCCTCAGGGCCCGTCTCATCTGCCTAACCCTTTCCCAAAGGATTCCCAGCCTTTTGGCTCTCACCACGTCAAAACTGCAGTGTGGGCCTTCCCGAGGGACTCAAAGCGTGTTCCTTCTGCATGATGGGTGAGTGTGGAGGAGGAGGAGTCTGAGGGGGCAAGATCGGGGCTGGGAGGTGGATGGGCTAGGGCTTCCCAATGAGATTCTCACCCTTGAAGAATGGACAGGGACATTTTTCATAAGGAAAAAAAAAATTCCTCTCTACAACTTTCCTGGCCTTTTTCCCACCAGTGTAGTTTTCTGTTTTCTTAAAAACTTCTTCCTCACAAGCTCCCAAGATCACCCTGCGGTCTTCAGGAAAATCTGTGACAATTACCCCTTTGAAGACCCCCAATAGTGACCACAGCCTTCTTAGCTGATCTCGCTGCCTTGAATTGGTCCAGCAGATCCCCTGAAATGCTACTGTTTCTATTGTACCTTTTTTCTAAGGCATCCTAACGAGACTAAGCAGCCCTGGTGGCCTGATGGACCTGTGCAGTAAGTGCCGGGCTGCAAACCCAAGGGTCGGCAGTTCAAACCCACCAGCCACTCTGCTGGTGTCTGACTCCCGGTTGGAAATCTAAAGGGGAGCAGCTGGCAGCTAACCCCAAGGAAGAGACGAGTGGGGGCCATCCATGGTGAGTGGGGACCATCCGTGGGGCAAAGAACTAAATGTGGTCTTTTGTGTCTGGTCCCTGAGCAAATCAGATGCACTTGGTTTTTCTGAAAAGAGCCCTGGTGGTGTCGTTAGGCTGCTAACCACAAGGTCAGCAGTTTGAAGCCACCAGCCGCTCTGTGGGAGAAAGACCAGGCTATTGACTCCCATCAAGAGTTACAGTCTCGGAAGCCCACAGGAACAGTTCTACCCGGTCCTATAGGGTCATCAGAATGGACTCTCTAGAATAGCAGACACCCAGAGGCTATGCAGGCCCCACACCTGACGAACTAACCACGGGCAGGGGCGGGGCATGATGCAATTACTCATGCATCCTCATTTCCTGGATGGTTTAACCGTACTTTAATGTGCTAGTCACGCAGATTCATTGATGGGCAAACGCCTTCCTGGTTGGGGAGAACAGCCGTATACAAGAGAGAGGGCATCACATCCCTGGGGACGCAGGAGGCCCTGCCCGGAAGCCCTCCAGACGGTCTCTGATAGCTCTCTTCACCTGTAGCCTCTGGTTACCACCAATGGATAAAAACACTGGGTGTCCTGGGAGATAGACACTCTACGCACCCACCAAGCCCAACTGGGGCAATAGGAGACTGGCCTCGGAGGTGCCCACCCTCGTTAAACAGAGGAACAGGAAGTAGGGAGATGGGGAAGAGGCCACTTAGGCCTCACCACCCGCGGTGTCGCACCCCCGGGGTGGGGGGTGGGGGACCATCACTGCGCTCTGCTGAGCACGTTAATCTCTGCAAACACGCTGCCGCAGGTCAGCTCTCCTGCTAGGAACCTACAGCACAGGGTGGACTGTCCCTGTGTGTGTCAGAGGCTGTAACTCTGGACGGGAGCGGAAAGCATTAGCTTGGAGCAGCTGGTGGATTCGAACTGCTGACCTTGAGGTGAGCAGCCCAGTGTGGAACTGAGAAGAGGCTGACAGAGTCACATTCTTTTCTGCAATCCTCGCCCATTACGGCACCAGGGGCAAGGGGAGAGTATCCACAGAGCAACCAGGTCTCACACCACGATATTTTGCCTACAAACCACACTGCTGCCGGGTGTCATTCCTCTTCACAGTGAGGAAGCCATGGCTGCGTGTAGGGTGGCATTCCTAGCTGAGGGTCACATCACTTGGAAGGCTAATCAGTGCAGGGCCATGCCTCAAGCCTGGGTCTGCCTACCTTCCCCCTCTGCCAGAAGGGGCTGAGGCAGGGTTGGGGCTTGTGGTGGTTTGAGTTTATGTCAACTTGAATTTGTATGAGTGTGTGTGTGTGTGTGTGTGTGTGTGTGTGTGTAATCTATGAGGCCACAGCTTGATGACTCCGGGGGGCGGGGGGGGCATGGGATGCTAAAAGAGAGACAGAGGGGACCCTTTCCCTCTGCCCCTTCACCTTGCTGCTTGCTGTCTCTCTGTACCTACCTCCATGGGGGCTGCCCCGGGTGGGCCGCCTGCCCCTGAGAATTACTGGTGCCTTGCCAGCTTTCCACCGACCTTGGACCCACACCACTCTGCAACATCCCCCACCTGGGGGTCGCCCCAATTCACCTCTCTGCAGCGACCCAAGTCTGTCTGCAGAGGGCTCCAGTCAGCGTGAGACCATGGGCTTGAGTTGGACGGGCTGAGGAGCTGTCTCAATATAAAATTGCTTCTTGAGAGGAAGCTCTTTCTTAGACACCTATCACTGGTTTCGTTCCTCTGGACAGCCCAGCCACACACAGGGCTCCAGGTGGGCAGGGGCTAAGTACTTACACCGTGGGACTGTCCCCTCCTTTCTGCCCCTCCCCCAGAGCCCATGGTCCGAGCCCTGGCACATCGGCTGTGTGTTACTGCTCATTCTGGAGGCAGGCCCTGGGAGCAGGGGAGCAGCCACCCATCCTACCCAAGTCCCTTCCACACCCCCACCTCCTTGGGGAGTCCCGACCCCCAGGGGAGGGCCCCGTACCTGTACCACGCACCTTCAGCGCCATCTCCTGGAAGCTGCTGCCCGCCCATTGGACTATGGAGCCCAGTTGGAAGATGGGGCAGTAGAGGTTGCTGAGGTCAAAGTGGCAAGTTTTCAGGAACGAGGTGTTCTGAGTGTCCTGCACGTTGGTCCTGGGTGCAGGCCGGGAACCACCAGGGACAGGAGATGAGACTTGCTGTCCTGGGTCCTGACCCTGGCCCGGGCCAACCCCCCTATGTAACACGGGATAGGGGACCCCGGAGCACCCAGCGGCTCTGTCCTGCATGCACATCTCACACCCACGCATTGGATGTGCCAAGTCATAAGGCCGGCAGAGGCCCCGTGTGACCAGCCAAGGCCCCACTCCCGATGCCCCCAGATTCAAGGCCCACATACTTGGAGAAATTGAATTTGGGGAACCGGATAAAGTTCTTGATGTAAACAGTGAATTTTTCGGCCTCATCCAGGAGCAGCTTCCTAGAAACCAAGGTGGCAGTCTGTCCAGGAGGCCCCACCTGCCTCCCCCAGACGTGTTCCTGGGGCCCCCCGAGGCTTTGCTGAGGTCAGCTAATTTGCTCAGGGTGCGGTGCATCTAGGCCTCTTGCTAGGCTTCCTGCTAGGGCTGGGGCCTCTGGAGGTGGGGGGGGCACCAAATCAATGGACTCCCATCTACGCCAACTGACCCTGGAGTCTCTGGAGCCCCAGGGGCTTCTCAGGCTGCGGCCACTCACGTGGGCTGGAACCTGGCCTCCACTGGGCACCAGGCGTAGATCTCGCAGGTCCCCTTCTGCGCTGTCCCCACTCGAAGGCAGCGGCCGGTCATCACTCCTGGGGCACAGGCCGGGGACAATGGCAGGGGGCTCCCGGCTCAGGCCTCGCCTCCACCACCGGCCCTC